CTAAGAAAACATTGCTGCCTTCAAGGTGGTAAATAATTTCTCCTATATTTTCTTCTAGAAGTTTTATAGTTTTCAGTTTACCTCTATGATTCATTTTGAATTCATTTTCATGAGTGATGGGATGGAAGGGTCCAGGTTTATTGGTTTCCCAGTAAATACCCAGCTGTTCCAGGACCATTTGGTGAAAAGACTTTGTTTTCTATTGGAATAACTGGGCTGCTTTGACAAGAATTTGGCCGGGCATGCACAGGTTGCTGTCAGGAGTGTTCTCACACAGGTTCACACCTGTACTTTGGGAGGCCAAGGCAGGTGGATCACTTGAGGCCAGGAGTTCAAGACCAGCCTGGGCAACATGGTGAAACCCCATCTTTACTAAAAGTACCAAAAAAAAAAAAAATTAGCGAGGCATGATGGTGCATGCCTGTAATCCCAGCTACTTGGGAGGATGAGGCACGAGAAATGCTTGAACCCAGGAGGCAAAAGTTGTAGTGAGCAGAGATTGTGCCACTGCATTCCAGCCTGAGTGACAGAGTGAGATCCTGTCTCAAAACAAAACAAACAAACAAACAAGAATTAATTGGCCATGTAAGTGTGGGGCTGTTCTGGACTTTGTTTTCTGTTCACTGATTTGTGTTTCTGCCACACTGTCTTGATTCCATTGGGGGTCAGAGAAGAGATCTAGGGTGATTGAAGTGATTTTAAATTTGTTGAGGCAGGTTTCTGAGCCAGCATGGGGACTGTCTCAGTGACTGTCCCCTGTGCACCTGAGAGCAGCATGCTCCGGCTGCTGTCTGGAGTGTTCTCCTAGTGCCAGTTTGGTCTTGTTGGTTGATGGGTGCTTCAAGTGTTTTGTATCTTCCCCTATTCTACTTTGTAAGGTTATCATTTCCTAAGAGTGTTAAAATATCCTATTGTATAATAATTATGGATTTATTTCTCCTTTCAGTTTTGCCGGTTTTTACTTCAGTGTTTTAAAAAGGAGATCTAGGTGTTTTTTTATTTGTTTTTTGAGATAGGGTCTTGCTCCGTCACCCCGGCTGGAGGGCAGTGGCACGATCTCGGCTCACTGTAGCCTCAACCTCCTGGGCTCAAGTGATCCTTCTCCCTCAGCCTCCTGAGTAGCTGGGACTACAGATGTGCACCACCATGCGTGGCTAACTTTTTAATATTTTCTAGAGATAAGGTCTCACTGTGTTGCCCAGGCTAGTCTCAAACTCCTGGCCTCAAGTGATCCTCCTTCCTCAGTCTCTTAAAGTGCTGGGATTATGGCGCAAGCCACTGTGCCCAGCCTACTATTCCATCTTAGTTCCACTATTGGTTTATTACCTATACATCTTTTTTTTTTTAATGGTTGCATTATGGTTTATACTCTGAATATTTAACTTATTACAGTATAATTTCAAGTAAGATTGTCCTACTTCAAGTATAATGTAAGATCTTCACAACAGCAACTTCTGCACTCCATCCCCATCCCGTCATATGCTTTACTTCTATATTTGTAAAATTCTAAGATACATTTTATTTTATTTGTTATTATTTTTTTGGAGACAGAATCTTGGTCTGTTGCTGAGGCTGGAGTGCAGTGGAAGGATCTCAGTTCACTGCAACCTCTGCCTCCTGGGTTCAAGTGATTCTCCTGCCTCTGCTTCTTGAATAGCTGGGATTATAGACGTGCACCACCACGCCCAGCTAATTTTTGCATTTTTAGTAGAGACAGTGTTTCACCATGTTGACCAGGCTGGTCTCGAACTCCTGGCCTCAAGTGATCTACTCTCCTAGGCCTCCCAAAGTGCTGGGATTACAGGTGTGAGCCACCGTGCTGACTTATTTTTGTTTTATACAGTTAATTACCTTTTTCTTTTACGGTTTCATTGACATATAGTTTAGAAACCATAGAACCCACCCATTGTAAATGTATAATTCAGTCATTTTACTAACCTTATAGAGTTGAGCAAACATCACCACAATCCAGTTCTGAAACACCTCCATCACCTTCCAAATTTTCTGAACCCCACTTACAATCAATCTCCCTTCCCACTCCCAGCCCCAGGCAATGCCAGCTTAATTCTGGTAAATTATAGAAACTTTGGTCCAAGGTACACTTGTCCCTCAGCATCCATGGGGGATTGCTTCTAGGAACTCCCTCGGATACCAAAATTCAAGGATGCTCAAGTCCTTCTATAAAGCGATGTAGTATTTGCAAATAACCTACATACATCTTCCCTCTCCAATACTTTAAATCGTCTCTAGATTACTTGTAATACCTAATGTAATGTAAATGCTATGTAAATAGCTGGTATACTCTGTTGGTTAGGGAATAATGACAAGAAAAAAGTCTGTACATGTTCAGTATAGATGCAATTTTTGGAAGGACATTTTTGACCCAAGTTTCATTGAACTCAGGACACAGAAACCACTGATATGAAAGGCTAACTGTATACCCTCTCCTCCCACTCCTTTTTGCTATTATTGTCACATATATACTGCATCTATATATGTTATAATCCTAACAATATGGTGTTCGAATTGTTGCCTTATATAAGTGCTTCACAGACTATTGCCTGTCTTCTAAATCCAGCCTCCTTTTTGTTTTACAAGTAAAGTTTTGTTGAAACAGTTATGCTCATTTATTTACATATTATCTATACTCTATAGCTGCTTCTGTATTATAGCTGCAGAGATACAACAGAGATCATGTGGCCTGTTAAGCTTAAAATATTTACTATATTGCCTTTTTCAAGAAAAGTTTGTCAATCCTTGCTTTATACAATCCTCTGTTTTTGAAAGAAGTTAAGAAATAAAATTAGGACAATATATATTCAGAGTCTTTTATATTTGCCTACATATTTACCACTTTTTGCATTCTTCATTTCTTCCTGTGCATTTGACTTACTGTCTGGTATTAGTTCCTTTCAGTCCGAAGGGCTTCTTTAGTATATCTTGTAAGGCAGATTTGCTAGCAATGAGATTTCCAAGTCTTTGTTCATTTGGGAATGCCTTTATTTTGCCTTTTTTAAAATTTAAATTTTTATTTTTTTGAGACAGAGTCTTGCTCTGCCTGACTGGAGTGAGGTGGTGCAATCACAGCTCACTGCAGCCTCAACCTCTCAGGCTTAAGCTATCCTCCTGCCTCAGCCTCCTGAGTAGCTGGGACTATAGGCATGCACCACCATGACCCGCTAATTTTAAAAAAAAATTTTGGGCCGGACGCGGTAGCTCACACCTGTAATCCCAGCACTTTGGGAGGCTGAGGCCGGTGGATCATGAGGTCAAGAGTTTGAGATCAGCCTGGCCACCATGGTGAAACCCCATTTCTACTAAAAATACAAAAATTAGCGGGGCATGGTAGCGCGTGCCTGTAGTCCCAGCTACTCGGGAGGCTGAGGCAGAAGAATTACTTGAACCCGGAAGGCAGAGGTTGAAGTGAGTCAAGATCGTGCTACTACACTTCATCCTGGGTGACAGAGTGAGACTCCGTCTCAAAAAAAAAAAAAAAAATTGTAGAGATGAGATCTTACTATATTGCTCAGGCTGGCCTTGAATTTCTGGGCTCGAGTTATCGTCCCACCTCAGCCTCCCAAAGTGCTGGGATTACAGGCATAAGCCATCATGCCCAGACTATTTTGCCTTTATTTTTGAAGGATAGGTTGCTTAATATCAAATTCTTCGTTGACAACATTTTCTTTCAGCCCTTTGAATATACTGCTCCACTTTCTTGTGGCCTCTACGGTTTTGATGTGATTCAGATGTTAGTTGTATTTTTATGCCCTTATTATGTGATAGGTCCCTTTCTCTTGAGCATTTTGACTATGATGCGTCCAGGTGTGGATCTCTGTGTTTCTCCTGCTTAGGTTTTGTCGAGCTTCTTGGATTCTGCAGATTGTTTTCAGCCATCACTTCTTCAACTCTCTCTTCTGTCTCTTTATCTTATGGTTAATGCTCTGAGGCTCTGTTTTTCTTCAATCAGCCTTCCTCCTGACCCCCGTTCTTCAAATTGGTTAATTTATATTAATCTACAAGTTGATGATTCTTCCGGTATCTCAAATCTATTGGTGAACCCCAGTAGTAAATTTTCAACTCCAGAATTTTTGCTTGCCTTTTAAAAAATAAGTTTTATTTATTTATGAGATTCTTTCTTCATTATTGTTAACATATTTTCCATTAATTTTTTAAACATGGTTTTTTTTGTGTGTGTTTCGAACAAACTCTTTTTTTTTTCTTTTTGAGATGGAGTTTCACTCTTGTTGCCCAGGCTGGAGTACAACGGTGCAATCTCAGCTCACCGCAACCTCCACCTCCCAGGTTCAAGCGATTCTCCTCCCTCAACCTCCTGAGTAGCTGGGATTACAGGCATGTGCCACCATGCCCGGCTAATTTTGTATTTTTAGTGGAGATGGGGTTTCTCCATGTTGGTCAGGCTGGTCTTGAACTCCCGACCTCAGGTGATATACCTTCCTCGGCCTCCCAAAGTTTTGGGATTACAGGTGTGAGCCACCGCGCCCAGCCTGAACAAACTTTTAATAGTTTCTTTGAAGTCTGTATTAAACCCAACACTGATGGACATTTAGAGATACTTTCCATTCACTGCTTTTTTTCTCAGTATGGATCATACATTCTTGTTTCTTTGCGTAACTTGTAATTTTTTGCTGGCTGCTGGACATTTTAGATAATACATTCGAGCAACTCTGGATTCTGATCCTCCCAGGGTGTGGTTATACAATAACTAACACCTTGTGTTTGTTTAGTAACTTTCTTGGACTAAATCTGTTCCAACTTGGAATAAGTCCAGTCTCAATTCAGTGCTACCTGACTTGATGCCACAGCCTCTCCAGCCCGATAGCTGTGGATCCTCCCCTGGCCCCTGAATTTGCTCTCAGATCCAGTGTCCAGGACAGGACTATGCCACCTCCACAGTGTACATACACTCCTGGCTCCCTCCCCCGGGCCCCGATCTGCTCCCCCAGCCTGCTTATCTCCACTGACAGCCACTCTCTCTGCAGTGTCTGGCCGACAGCTGCAGCCCAGGGAGCCAGATGCAGAAACTGAAGATGACCACTCTGTAAGTGAGAGCGGGAGGAAGTGTGTCCTCCTCATACCCTGCCCCCATTCTCCCTGGGCCCTGGGAGAACTGAGTGGCAAAAGGAACTGGATTCTCTCCTGTCAGGTGACTGAAGGGCCTGCAGATGAGGTCATTCGACCACGGCCACAGGGGTCCTCACCTGTCTACGAATACACGACTGAGGCTGCTGACTTTGGACTCCAGGTGAGCCTGCTGGGCAGAGCCCCACAGGCACCCAGCTCTCCCCCTGCATCGCCCTGTGTGGGCAACTCACTCATGTCTGTGCAGCCCTGCCGCCCTGCCTCGCTGCCCACTGGGCAGTGCCCACTCAGATGTCCTCTCAGACTCCTCTGTGCCCTTGGGTTCCTCCCTGCGGCTGGCCAGGGCACAGTGGGATGGAGGTGCCTGCAGCTCTTGTGAGCATGCGTGTGGGCGGATGGGGACAGGCCTCGTGTTACTGTGTGTGTGTTTCAGGGGCACAGGTTGTGTGCATACCTGAACCTGTGTAACACACTCATGCTGTCTTTGGGGACAAGGCCCCATGGCTACCTCTGGAGACAAGGACTTGGGGAAGGGATCAGAGGAGCCATGTCTATGAAAGGATTCCTTTTTGTACAATTTGAATTTCTTTTTTTTTTTTTTTTTTTGAGACGGAGTCTCGCTCTGTCGCCCAGGCTGGAGTGCAGTGGCCAGATCTCAGCTGACTGCAAGCTCCGCCTCCCGGGTTTACGCCATTCTCCTGCCTCAGCCTCCGGAGTAGCTGGGACTACAGGCGCCCGCCACCTCGCCCAGCTAGTTTTTTGTATTTTTTAGTAGAGACGGGGTTTCACCGGATTAGCCAGGATGGTCTCGATCTCCTGACCTTGTGATCCACCCGTCTCGGCCTCCCAAAGTGCTGGGATTACAGGCTTGAGCCACCGCGCCCGGCCTACAATTTGAATTTCTTATCTCCCTCCGTATGAAACTCTAGTTGCTGTGGGGCTTCCCTGTGGGCGCTGTGGGCTGTAGGCTGGGCCCTGTCAGGAAGCAGGAAGGCCGAGAATTGCCTTTTCTCTGTGGATGTGCCTGGAGGGACCCGGCTCCCTCTGCACACAGCTGCATGTTGGAGGTTCTGGGCCCCTCTGAAGGGAGGGCTCCTGGTCTGGCACCAGCCTACCTGTGCCCCTCCCTGTCCCTGAGCTGGGGCAGGTGCCTAACTCCCAGCACTTGTGGCTGCAGGAAGACGCTCCCGGCAGGCAAGGTTCCGCTGGGAGACGGAGATCCTGGTGGAAGCGGGATTCAGGGGACTCACGGACATTTTTCAGGATGAGTCGTCCAGAGGTGGGTACAGAAGGAGCTGAGGGTCACAGAGGTGTGTCCGTCCACAAAGGATCCAGCCAGAGAGTTTGAGGTCAGAGCAGGTGGGGGAGGAGCAAAGAGGCTGGCAGTGTGCCCAGTGCCCTGGGGAGGAGGGGTGTTCTTGTCCCCCTTGTCAGGCCTGGGGAAACGCAGGGGCTCCAGAAGGCTAAATCTGGTTCTGACCCTCCCCACTCCTCCCTGGTGTAGAGTTTGATGCATAGCCAAGCTCCCAGCCAGGTAGACCTGGCTGTGCAGACCTCAATTTCCTCCTCTGTACAATGGGGCAGTGCTGGTGTCTGTTGCATATTCAAGTCACGGGGCTGAAAGGGCCAGTCAGCACCCAGGCCATGTAACTATGGAAGGTGCTAGACTCTGCTAGCACCCGGTGATGAGGGGACTCTGCCTCTAAAGCAACTGTTCTTTTTTCTTTTTTTTTTTTCCCCTGGATGCCCCAGCAGTCCAAGAGCTCTACAGGACACAGGCCCCATCCTGTCCCAGGTCTGGCAGGTTGCGCCCAATGTCCCGTATTTTCCTTGGCATTGCTGTTCTTCCTTGTCTTGAGCATCAGGTGCCTTGCACACAATTCATACTTCACGTGTTTGTGAAGAATGCACAAAGGAGCTGAAAAGGGAACCTCTGGCCACAGGGAAAGCAGAAGTCGTTCTGCCCTGTTCCTGGTGCCCTGCTGGGCCTGGTGGCATGGACAGGCTGTGCCTAAGTCCTGGCAGGTTGGGGTGGGGACAAGAGTTCTGGAAGCTTCCAGCTGGCTTCCTCCAGAGCTCAGACACAGCTAGCTGAGCCCACCCGGTGGGTGCCCCACACTGTTCTGTGTTGTCCGGGCTGATGGGAAGGATGGTGGGGTGCCCATCCTCTGGAGACTCAGGTCCCAGCAGGGACGCTTACGGTGGGACTGGCACATGCTCACCATGGCCCTGATGTGCTTCTGCTCCAGTCCATGCAGGAGGCAACAGAGGTGACGCTGAAGACAGAGGTGGAGGCGGGAGCCAGTGGCTACAGTGTCACAGGCGGTGGGGACAAGGGGATCTTTGTCAAGCAAGTGCTGAAGGACTCCTCAGCTGCCAAGCTTTTCAACTTGAGAGAAGGTGCCATGGCAGTTCCATCCCTGGGGTCCCCATTCTCCCCACCAGAATGGGAGGGACCTGGAGGGGGGCATTGAGGGGGATAGGAGCCACACCTGGAGCCTAGGACGACCTCCTCACGTCTCTGCACAGCTGCTTGAGGCTGGGATCACCCACTGCATCTAGTAAAATGGGGGACCCCATCCACCTTCCCTGTGCCTGAGACACTCGGTGGGGGACTGGTGGGGCAGACTCAGTGGGATCCCCCCTATGCATGCTCCTGGGGCCCTCCTCGCCAGCCAAGGCAAGACAGCAGACCCCATCTCATTCACACACCCGGCCCTGGGGCTGCTCTTTCTTGGTCTAGGGGATCAGCTGCTCAGTGCAACCGTGTTCTTTGACAACATAAAATATGAAGATGCTCTCAAAATCCTTCAGTACTCAGAGCCGTACAGGGTTCAGTTCAAAATCAGACGGCAGCTCCCTGCTCCACAGGATGAAGAGTGGGCCTCCAGCAATGCCCAGCATGGCCCACAGGGCAAGAAGGAGGTGAGACCACCATGCCTGTGGGGCAGGGCCCCAGCTGGCTTCACTACCCTGCTGGCTGAGCTGGGAGGGGATAGCACTCCCAATCCATCTGTCCCTGGGCCAGGGTCTCAGGCTTCTTGGACTGGTACCAACAGATTCCCTCTCCCTATGTTTCAGGACACGGATGTCGCTGATGGATGCAGAGAGACTCCCGCGAAAACTCTGGAAGGAGATGGGGACCAAGAGAGACTCATCTCCAAACCCAGGGTGGGGAGAGGCAGGCAGACCCAGAGGGAGAGGCTCTCTTGGCCAAAATTTCAATCCATAAAGAGCAAGCGGGGGCCGGGACCCCAGAGGTCACACAGCTTGTCAGAGGCCTACGAGCCCAGGGACGCACATGACGTGTCCCCTACAAGCACAGACACAGAGGCCCAGCTCGCAGTGGAGCGCCAAGAGCAGAAGGCAGGGCCGGGCAGCCAGAGGAGGCGGAAGTTCCTCAACCTGAGATTCAGGACAGGCTCGGGACAGGGCCCTTCATCAACAGGAGAGCCAGGCAGGGGGTCCCAGAGAGGGGTGGGCCGTGCTGGGGTCCTGGAAGAGTTGGGGCCCTGGGGTGATAGCCTTGAGGACACTGGGGCTGCCACAGGCAGCAGGAGAGAGGAGAGGGCAGAACAGGATCGAGAAGTGACACAGTTGCCCACAGAGCTGGGTGACCCTAGAGCTTGTGAGGGAACCCCTGAGGAAGGGGGACTCAGGGCAGCCAGGTTCCACAGAAAGACCCTGGAGGGGCAGGCACAGGAGACAGCAGTGGCCCAGGGGAAGCCCAGGGCCCAGCCAACTCCTGGAATGAGCTGGGAGGGTGAAGGTGAGGGACTGCAGAGCCTGGAAATTGGGATCGCCAGACTGTCCTTGAGAGACACAACCGAAGGAGGCACACAGATCGGCCCACCCAAAATTAGGGTGCGAGTACACGATTTAAAGACACCAAAATTCGCATTTTCTACCGAAAAAGAGCCAGAAAGAGAAAGGCGCATTAGTGCCCCACAGCGAGGGAAGAGACAGGACCTGTCCTCAAAAGTGGGTACTGGCCTGAATGTTGAGGAGGTGGAAGGAGCAGGGTGGGAACCAGGCAGGGAACCAGCCACATACGCAGAAGCACAAGAGGGTGAAGGAGATGGAGAAGGACTACAGAGGACAAGGATCACCCAGGAACAGTACAAGGTCGGGGAAGACAGAGAAGGACAGATGAGAATGCCCAAGTTCAAGATACCATCCTTAGGATGGTCGCCAAGCAAGCAGGCAAAGACAGGGAGAGAAAAAGCCACACAAGACACAGAGCAGGAAAGGGCAGGAGAGGCCATAGCAACAGCCGACAGAAGAGAACAGGGAGGCACGGAGGCAGGACTAAAAGATAAGGAAGATAGAGACTCAATGACAAACGAAACAAAATTACAATTAACACATGACCAAAAACCCTTGAAAAAGGAACAAATTCTGAAAGAAAAGGATGTGGCCACCAAAGACAGCAAGTTCAAAATGCCCAAGTTCAAGATGCCATCCTTCGGAGTGTCGGCCCCAGGCAAGTCCATCGAGACCTCGGTGGACATGTCTGTGTCAAAGATGGAGGCCGATGTGAGCCTCCCCTCCATGCAGGGGGAACTCAAGACCACTGACCTCAGCATTCAGCCCCCTTCCGCTGACCTGGAGGTCCAGGCTGTCCAGGTGGATATGAAGCTCCCGGAGGGCCATGTGCCCGAGGGAGCTGGCCTCAAAGGGCACCTGCCCAATGTGGAGATGCCAAGTTTGAAGATGCCCAAAGTGGACCTCAAAGGCCCCCAGGTGGATATCAAGGGCCCCAAGCTGGACCTGAAAGGCCCCAAGGTGGAGGTGACGGCCCCCGACATGGACGTGTCTCTGCCCAGCGTGGAGGTGGACATCCAGGCCCCAGGAGCCAAGCTGGATGGCGCACGACTGGAGGGGGACCTGTCCCTGGCTGACAAGGATGTGACCGTGAAAGACAGCAAGTTCAAAATGCCCAAGTTCAAGATGCCGTCCTTTGGGGTGTCGGCCCCAGGCAAGTCCATCGAGGCCTCGGTGGACGTGTCCGTGCCAAAGGTGGAGGCCAATGTGAGCCTCCCCTCCATGGAGGGGGACCTCAAGACCACTGACCTCAGCATTCAGTCCCCTTCCGCCGAGCTGGAGGTACAGGCTGTCCAGGTGGACATGAAGCTCCCTGAGGGCCACATGCCCGAGGGAGCCAGCCTCAAAGGGCACCTGCCCAAGGTGCATATGCCCAGTTTGAAGATGCCCAAAGTGGACCTCAAGGGCCCCCAGGTGGATATCAAGGGCCCCAAGCTGGACCTGAAGGGCCCCAAGGTGCAGGTGACGGCCCCTGACGTGGAGGTGTCCCGGCCCAGCATGGAGGTGGAAATCCAGGCCCTGGGAGCCAAGCTGGATGATGCCCAGCTGGAGGGGGAACTGTCCCTGGCCGACAAGGACGTGACCACCAAACACACCAAATTCAAAATGCCCAAGTTCAAGATGCCATCCTTCGGGGTGTCGGCCCCAGGCAAGTCCATCGAGGCCTCGGTGGACGTGTCTGTGCCGAAGGTGGAGGCAGATGTGAGCCTCCCCTCCATGCAGGGGGACCTCAAGACCACTGACCTCAGCATTCAGCCCCCTTCCGCTGACCTGGAGGTCCAGGCTGTCCAGGTGGACGTGACGATCCCAGAAGGCCACATGCCCGAAGGAGCTGGCCTCAAAGGGCACCTGCCCAAGGTGGAGATGCCAAGTTTGAAGATGCCCAAAGTAGACCTCAAAGGCCCCCAGGTGGATATCAAGGGACCCACGCTGGACCTGAAAGGCCCCAAGGCGGAGGTGACGGTCCCCGACGTGGAGGTGTCTCTTCCCAGCATGGAGGTGGACCACCAGACCCCAGGAGTCAAGCTGGATGGTGTGCGGCTGGAGGGGGACCTGTCCCTGGCCGACAAGGGCGTGACCACCAAAGACAGCAAGTTCAAAATGCCCAAATTCAAGATGCCGTCCTTCGGGGTGTCGGCCCCAGGCAAGTCCATTGAGGCCTCGGTGGACGTGTCTGTGCCAAAGATGGAGGCCGACGTGAGCCCCCCCTCCATGCAGGGGGACCTCAAGACCACTGACCTCAGCATTGAGCCCCCATCCGCTGAGCTGGAGGTCCAGGCTGTCCAGGTGGACGTGAAGCTCCCTGAGGGCCACGTGCCTGAGGGAGCTGGCCTCAAAGGGCACCTGCCCAAGGTGCAGAGGCCCAGTTTCAAGATGCCCAAAGTGGATGTCAAGGGCCCCAAGCTGGACCTGAAAGGCCCCAAGGCGGAGGTGATGACCCCTGACGTGGATGTGTCTCTGCCCAGTGTGGAGGTGGACATCCAGGCCCCAGGAGCCAAGCTGGACGGCACACGGCTGGAGAGGGAACTGTCCCTGGCTGACAAGGATGTGACTGTGAAAGACAGCAAGTTCAAAACGCCCAAGTTCAAGATGCCGTCCTTCGGGGTGTCGGCCCCAGGCAAGTCCATCGAGGCCTCAGTGGACGTGTCTGCGCCGAAGGTGGAGGCCGACGTGAGCCTCGTCTCCATGCAGGGGGGTCTCAAGACCACGGACATAAGCATTCAGCCCCCTTCCGCCGACCTGGAAGTCCAGGCTGGCCAAGTGGACATGACGCTCCCAGAGGCCCACGTGCCCGAGGGAGCTGGCGTCAAAGGGCACCTGCCCAAGGTGGAGATGCCCAGTTTCAAGATGCCCAAAGTGGACCTCAAGGGCCCCCAGGTGCACATCAAGGGCCCCAAGCTGGACCTGAAAGGCCCCAAGGCGGAGGTGACGGCCCCTGATGGGGAGAGGTCTCTGCCCAGCATGGAGGTGGACATCCAGGCCCCGGTGGCCAAGCTGGACGGTGCAGGGATGGAAGGGGAACTGTCCCTAGCCAACAAGGATGTGACTGCCAAAGACAGCAAGTTCAAAATGCCCAAGTTCAAGATGCCATCCTTCGGGGTGTCTGCCCCAGGCAAGTCCATCGAGGCCTCGGTGGATGTGTCTGTGCCAAAGATGGAGGCCAACGTGAGCCTCCCCTCCATGCAGGGGGACCTCAAGACCACTGACTTCAGAATTCAGCCCCCTTCCGCTGACGTGGAGGTCCAGGCTGTCCAGGTGGATGTGATGCTACCGGAAGGCCACATGCCCGAGGGAGCCAGCCTCAAAGGGCACCTGCCCAAGGTGGAGATGCCAAGTTTGAAGATGCCCAAAGTGGATCTCAAAGGGCCCCAGGTGGATATCAAGGGCCCCAAGCTGGACCTGAAAGGCCCCAAGGCGGAGGTGACAGCCCCCGATGTGGAGGTGTCTCTGCCCAGCGTGCAGGTGGACCACCAGACCCCAGGAGTCAAGCTGGATGGCGTGCGGCTGGAGGGGGACCTGTCCCTGGCCGACAAGGACGTGACCGCCAAAGACAGCAAATTCAAAATGCCTAAGTTCAAGATGCCATCGTTCGGGCTGCCCGCCCCAGGCAAGTCCATGGAGGCCTCAGTGGACGTATCTGTGCCGAAGGTGGACTTCAAGACCACGGACATAAGCATTCAGCCCCCTTCCACCGATCTGGAGGTCCAGGCTGGCCAAGTGGATGTGAGGCTCCTGCAGGGCCACCTGCCCGAGGGAGCCGGCATCAAAGGGCACCTGCCCAAGGTAGAGATGCCCAGTTTCAAGATGCCCAAAGTGGACCTCAAGGGCCCCCAGGTGCACATCAAGGGCCCCAAGCTAGACCTGAAGGGCTCCAAGGTGGAGGAGACGGCCCCCGACATGGAGGTGTCTCTGCCCAGCGTGGAGGTTGACGTCCAGGCCCCGGCAGCCAAACTGGATGGCGTGGGGCTGGAGGGGGACCTGTCCCTGGCCCACAAGGATGTGACCGCCAAAGACAGCAAGTTCAAAATGCCCAAGTTCAAGATGCCATGCTTCGGGGTGTCGGCCCCAGGCAAGTCCATCGAGGCCTCGATGGACGTGTCTACACCAAAGGTGGAGGCTGAACTGAGCCTCCCCTCCATTCAGGGGGACCTCAAGACCACTGACCTCAGCATTCAGCCCCCTTCCGCTGACCTGCAGGTCCAGGCTGTCCGGGTGGACATGACGCTCCCGGAAGGCTACATGCCCGAGGGAGCTGGCCTCAAAGGGCACCTGCCCAAGGTGCAGATGCCCAGTTTCAAGATGCCCAAAGTGGACCCCAAAGGCCCCCAGGTTGATATCAAGGGCCCCACGCTGGACCTGAAAGGCCCCAAGGCGGAGGTGACAGCCCCCGTCCTGGAGGTGTCTCTGCCCAGCGTGGAGGTGGACATGCAGGCCCCCGTAGCCAAGCTGGATGATGCACGGCTGGAGGGGGACCTGTCCCTGGCCGACAAGGACGTGACCGCCAAACACAGCAAGTTCAAAATGCCTAAGTTCCAGATGCCATCCTTGGGGGTGTCGGCCCCAGGCAAGTCTATTGAGGCCTCGGTGGGCGTGTCTGTTCCAAAGGTGGAGGCCGACGTGAGCCTGTCCTCCATGCAGGGGGACCTCAAAACCACTGACCTCAGCATTCAGCCCTCTTCCGCCGACCTGGAGATCCAGGCTGTCCAGGTGGATATGACGCTCCCGGAGGGCCGCCTGCCCGAGGGAGCTGGCGTCAAAGGGCACCTGCCCAAGGTGGAGATGCCCAGTTTCAAGATGCCCAAAGTGGACCTCAAGGGCCCCCAGGTGCACATCAAGGGCCCCAAGCTGGACCTGAAAGGCCCCAAGGCGGAGGTGACGGCCCCCGACGTGGAGGTGTCTCTGCCCATCATGGAGGTGGACATCCAGGCCCCGGCGACCAAGCTTGACGGTGCAGGGATGGAGGGGGACCTGTCCCTAGCTGACAAGGACGTGACCGCCAAAGATGGCAAGTTCAAAATGCCCAAGTTCAAGATGCCATCCTTCGGGGTGTCGGCCCCAGGCAAGTCCATCGAGGCCTCGGTGGACGTGTCCGTGCCAAAGGTGGAGGCCGACGCGAGCCTCCCCTCCATGCAGGGGGACCTCAAGACCACTGACCTCAGCATTCAGCCCCCTTCCGCTGACCTGGAGGTCCAGGCTGTCCGGGTGGACGTGACGCTCCCAGAAGGCCACGTGCCCGAAGGAGCTGGCCTCAAAGGGCACCTGCCCAAGGTGGAGATGCCCAGTTTGAAGATGCCCAAAGTGGACCTCAAAGGCCCCCAGGTGGACATCAAGGGCCCCAAGCTGGACCTGAAAGGCTCCAAGGCGGAGGTGACGGCCCCCGACGTGGAGGTGTCTCTGCCCAGCATGGAGGTGGACATCCAGGCCCCGGGAGCCAAGCTGGACCACACGCGGATGGAGGGGGACCTGTCCGTAGCCGACAAGGACTTGACCGCAAAAGACAGCAAGTTCAAAATGCCCAAGTTCAAGATGCCGTCCTTTGGGGTGTCGGCCCCAGGCAAGTCCATCGAGGCCACGGTGGACGTGTCTGTGCCGAAGGTGGAGGCCGACGTGAGCCTCCCCTCCATGCAGGGGGACCTCAAGACCACTGACCTCAGCATTGAGCCCCCATCCGCTGAGCTGGAGGTCCAGGCTGTCCAGGTGGACGTGAAGCTCCCGGAGGGCCACGTGCCCGAGGGTGCTGGCCTCAAAGGGCACCTACCCAAGGTGCAGATGCCCAGTTTCAAGATGCCCAAAGTGGACGTCAAGGGCCCCAAGCTGGACCTGAAAGGCCCCAAGGCGGAGGTGATGACCCCTGACGTGGATGTGTCTCTGCCCAGCGTGGAGGTGGACATCCAGGCCCCAGGAGCCAAGCTGGACGGCGCACGGCTGGAGGGGGAACTGTCCCTGGCTGACAAGGATGTGACCGCGAAAGACAGCAAGTTCAAAATGCCCAAGTTCAAGATGCCGTCCTTTGGGGTGTCGGCCCCAGGCAAGTCCATCGAGGCCTCGGTGGACGTGTCTGCGCCGAAGGTGGAGGCCGACGTGAGCCTCGTCTCCATGCAGGGGGGTCTCAAGACCACGGACATAAGCATTCAGCCCCCTTCTGCCGACCTGGAAGTCCAGGCTGGCCAAGTGGACATGACGCTCCCAGAGGCCCACCTGCCCGAGGGAGCCGGCGTCAAAGGGCACCTGCCCAAGGTGGAGATGCCCAGTTTCAAGATGCCCAAAGTGGACCTCAAAGGCCCCCAGGTGCACATCAAGGGTCCCAAGCTGGACCTGAAAGGCCCCAAGGCGGAGGTGACGGCCCCCGACGTGGAGGTGTCTCTGCCCAGCGTGGAGGTGGACGTCCAGGCCCCAGGAGTCAAGCTGGATGATGCACGACTGGAGGGGGAACTGTCCCTGGCCGACAAGGACGTGTCCACGAAACACAGCAAGTTCAAAATGCCCAAGTTCAAGATGCCATCCTTCGGAGTGTCGGCCCCAGGCAAGTCCATCGAGGCCTCGGTGGACATGTCTGTGCCGAAGGTGGAGGCAGATGTGAGCCTCCCCTCCATGCAGGGGGACCTCGAGACCACAGACCTCAGCATTCAGCCCCCTTCTGCTCACCTGGAGGTCCAGGCTGTCCAGGTGGACGTGACGCTCCCTGAAGGCCATGTGCCCGAGGGAGCTGGCCTCAAAGGGCACCTACCTAAGATGGAGATGCCCAGTTTCAAGATGCCCAAAGTGGACCTCAAAGGCCCCCAGGTGGATATCAAGGGCCCCAAGCTGGACTTGAAAGGCCCCAAGGCAGAGGTGACGGCCCCCGACGTGGAGGTGTCTCTGCCCAGCGTGGAGGTGGATGTCCAGGCCCCAGGAGTCAAACTGGATGGCGCGTGGCTGGAGGGGGACCTATCCCTGGCTGACAAGGACGTGACCGCCAAAGACAGCAAATTCAAAATGCCCAAGTTCAAGATGCCATCGTTCGGGCTGTCCGCCCCAGGCAAGTCCATGGAGGCCTCAGTTGACCTGTCTGCGCCGAAGGTGGAGGCCGACGTGAGCCTCCCCTCCATGCAGGGGGACCTCAAGACCACGGACCTCAGCATTCAGCCCCCATCCGCTGACCTGGAAGTCCAGGCTGTACAGGTGGACATGACGCTCCTGGAGGGCCACTTGCCCGAGGGAGCCGGCGTCAAAGGGCACCTGCCCAAGGTGCAGATGCCCAGTTTGAAGATGCCCAAAGTGGACCTCAAAGGCCCCCAGGTGGATGTCAAGGGCCCCAAGCTGGACCTGAAAGGCCCCAAGGCGGAGGTGACGGCCCCCGACGTGGAGGTGTCTCTGCCCAGCATGGAGGTGGACATCCAGGCCCCGGGAGCCAAGCTGGACCACACGCGGATGGAGGGGGACCTGTCCGTAGCCGACAAGGACTTGACCGCAAAAGACAGCAAGTTCAAAATGCCCAAGTTCAAGATGCCGTCCTTTGGGGTGTCGGCCCCAGGCAAGTCCATCGAGGCCACGGTGGACGTGTCTGCGCCGAAGGTGGAGGCCGACGTGAGCCTCCCCTCCATGCAGGGGGACCTCAAGACCACTGACCTCAGCATTGAGCCCCCATCCGCTGAGCTGGAGGTCCAGGCTGTCCAGGTGGACGTGAAGCTCCCGGAGGGCCACGTGCCCGAGGGTGCTGGCCTCAAAGGGCACCTACCCAAGGTGCAGATGCCCAGTTTCAAGATGCCCAAAGTGGACGTCAAGGGCCCCAAGCTGGACCTGAAAGGCCCCAAGGCGGAGGTGATGACCCCTGACGTGGATGTGTCTCTGCCCAGCGTGGAGGTGGACATCCAGGCCCCAGGAGCCAAGCTGGACGGCGCACGGCTGGAGGGGGAACTGTCCCTGGCTGACAAGGATGTGACCGCGAAAGACAGCAAGTTCAAAATGCCCAAGTTCAAGATGCCGTCCTTTGGGGTGTCGGCCCCAGGCAAGTCCATCGAGGCCTCGGTGGACGTGTCTGCGCCGAAGGTGGAGGCCGACGTGAGCCTCGTCTCCATGCAGGGGGGTCTCAAGACCACGGACATAAGCATTCAGCCCCCTTCTGCCGACCTGGAAGTCCAGGCTGGCCAAGTGGACATGACGCTCCCAGAGGCCCACCTGCCCGAGGGAGCCGGCGTCAAAGGGCACCTGCCCAAGGTGGAGATGCCCAGTTTCAAGATGCCCAAAGTGGACCTGAAGGGCCCCCAGGTGCACATCAAGGGTTCCAAGCTGGACCTGAAAGGCCCCAAGGCGGAGGTGACGGCCCCTGACGTGGAGGTGTCTCTGCCCAGCGTGGAGGTGGACGTCCAGGCCCCAGGAGTCAAGCTGGATGATGCACGACTGGAGGGGGAACTGTCCCTGGCCGACAAGGACGTGTCCACAAAACACAGCAAGTTCAAAATGCCCAAGTTCAAGATGCCATCCTTCGGAGTGTCGGCCCCAGGCAAGTCCATCGAGGCCTCGGTGGACATGTCTGTGCCGAAGGTGGAGGCAGATGTGAGCCTCCCCTCCATGCAGGGGGACCTCGAGACCACAGACCTCAGCATTCAGCCCCCTTCTGCTCACCTGGAGGTCCAGGCTGTCCAGGTGGACGTGACGCTCCCTGAAGGCCATGTGCCTGAGGGAGCTGGCCTCAAAGGGCACCTACCTAAGATGGAGATGCCCAGTTTCAAGATGCCCAAAGTGGACCTCAAAGGCCCCCAGGTGGATATCAAGGGCCCCAAGCTGGACCTGAAAGGCCCCAAGGCAGAGGTGACGGCCCCCGACGTGGAGGTGTCTCTGCCCAGCGTGGAGGTGGATGTCCAGGCCCCAGGAGTCAAACTGGATGGCGCGCGGCTGGAGGGGGACCTATCCCTGGCTGACAAGGACGTGACCGCCAAAGACAGCAAATTCAAAATGCCCAAGTTCAAGATGCCATCCTTTGGGGTGTCCGCCCCAGGCAAGTCCATGGAGGCCTCAGTTGACCTGTCTGCACCGAAGGTGGAGGCCGACGTGAGCCTCCCCTCCATGCAGGGGGACCTCAAGACCACGGACCTCAGCATTCAGCCCCCATCCGCCGACCTGGAAGTCCAGGCTGTACAGGTGGACATGACGCTCCTGGAGGGCCACTTGCCCGAGGGAGCCGGCGTCAAAGGGCACCTGCCCAAGGTGCAGATGCCCAGTTTGAAGATGCCCAAAGTGGACCTCAAAGGCCCCCAGGTGGATATCAAGGGCCCCAAGCTGGACCTGAAAGGCCCCAAGGCGGAGGTGACGGCCCTCGACGTGGAGGTGTCTCTGCCCAGCATGGAGGTGGACATCCAGGCCCCGGGAGCCAAGCTGGACCACACGCGGATGGAGGGGGACCTGTCCGTAGCCGACAAGGACTTGACCGCAAAAGACAGCAAGTTCAAAATGCCCAAGTTCAAGATGCCGTCCTTTGGGGTGTCGGCCCCAGGCAAGTCCATCGAGGCCACGGTGGACGTGTCTGCGCCGAAGGTGGAGGCCGACGTGAGCCTCCCCTCCATGCAGGGGGACCTCAAGACCACTGACCTCAGCATTGAGCCCCCATCCGCTGAGCTGGAGGTCCAGGCTGTCCAGGTGGACGTGAAGCTCCCGGAGGGCCACGTGCCCGAGGGTGCTGGCCTCAAAGGGCACCTGCCCAAGGTGCAGATGCCCAGTTTCAAGATGCCCAAAGTGGACGTCAAGGGCCCCAAGCTGGACCTGAAAGGCCCCAAGGCGGAGGTGATGACCCCTGACGTGGATGTGTCTCTGCCCAGCGTGGAGGTGGACATCCAGGCCCCAGGAGCCAAGCTGGACGGCGCACGGCTGGAGGGGGAACTGTCCCTGGCTGACAAGGATGTGACCGCGAAAGACAGCAAGTTCAAAATGCCCAAGTTCAAGATGCCGTCCTTTGGGGTGTCGGCCCCAGGCAAGTCCATCGAGGCCTCGGTGGACGTGTCTGCGCCGAAGGTGGAGGCCGACGTGAGCCTCGTCTCCATGCAGGGGGGTCTCAAGACCACGGACATAAGCATTCAGCCCCCTTCTGCCGACCTGGAAGTCCAGGCTGGCCAAGTGGACATGACGCTCCCAGAGGCCCACCTGCCCGAGGGAGCCGGCGTCAAAGGGCACCTGCCCAAGGTGGAGATGCCCAGTTTCAAGATGCCCAAAGTGGACCTCAAAGGCCCCCAGGTGCACATCAAGGGTCCCAAGCTGGACCTGAAAGGCCCCAAGGCGGAGGTGACGGCCCCCGACGTGGAGGTGTCTCTGCCCAGCGTGGAGGTGGACGTCCAGGCCCCAGGAGTCAAGCTGGATGATGCACGACTGGAGGGGGAACTGTCCCTGGCCGACAAGGACGTGTCCACAAAACACAGCAAGTTCAAAATGCCCAAGTTCAAGATGCCATCCTTCGGAGTGTTGGCCCCAGGCAAGTCCATCGAGGCCTCGGTGGACATGTCTGTGCCGAAGGTGGAGGCAGATGTGAGCCTCCCCTCCATGCAGGGGGACCTCGAGACCACAGACCTCAGCATTCAGCCCCCTTCTGCTCACCTGGAGGTCCAGGCTGTCCAGGTGGACGTGACGCTCCCTGAAGGCCATGTGCCCGAGGGAGCTGGCCTCAAAGGGCACCTACCTAAGATGGAGATGCCCAGTTTCAAGATGCCCAAAGTGGACCTCAAAGGCCCCCAGGTGGATATCAAGGGCCCCAAGCTGGACCTGAAAGGCCCCAAGGCAGAGGTGACGGCCCCCGACGTGGAGGTGTCTCTGCCCAGCGTGGAGGTGGATGTCCAGGCCCCAGGAGTCAAACTGGATGGCGCGCGGCTGGAGGGGGACCTATCCCTGGCTGACAAGGACGTGACCGCCAAAGACAGCAAATTCAAAATGCCCAAGTTCAAGATGCCATCGTTCGGGCTGTCCGCCCCAGGCAAGTCCATGGAGGCCTCAGTTGACCTGTCTGCGCCGAAGGTGGAGGCCGACGTGAGCCTCCCCTCCATGCAGGGGGACCTCAAGACCACGGACCTCAGCATTCAGCCCCCATCCGCCGACCTGGAAGTCCAGGCTGTACAGGTGGACATGACGCTCCTGGAGGGCCACTTGCCCGAGGGAGCCGGCATCAAAGGGCACCTGCCCAAGGTGCAGATGCCCAGTTTGAAGATGCCCAAAGTGGACCTCAAAGGCCCCCAGGTGGATGTCAAGGGCCCCAAGCTGGACCTGAAAGGCCCCAAGGCGGAGGTGACGGCCCCCGACGTGGAGGTGTCTCTGCCCAGCATGGAGGTGGACATCCAGGCCCCGGTAGCCAAGCTGGACCACACGCGGATGGAGGGGGACCTGTCCGTAGCCGACAAGGACTTGACCGCAAAAGACAGCAAGTTCAAAATGCCCAAGTTCAAGATGCCGTCCTTTGGGGTGTCAGCCCCAGGCAAGTCCATCGAGGCCACGGTGGACGTGTCTGCGCCGAAGGTGGAGGCCGACGTGAGCCTCCCCTCCATGCAGGGGGACCTCAAGACCACTGACCTCAGCATTGAGCCCCCATCCGCTGAGCTGGAGGTCCAGGCTGTCCAGGTGGACGTGAAGCTCCCGGAGGGCCACGTGCCCGAGGGTGCTGGCCTCAAAGGGCACCTACCCAAGGTGCAGATGCCCAGTTTCAAGATGCCCAAAGTGGACGTCAAGGGCCCCAAGCTGGACCTGAAAGGCCCCAAGGCGGAGGTGATGACCCCTGACGTGGATGTGTCTCTGCCCAGCGTGGAGGTGGATATCCAGGCCCCAGGAGCCAAGCTGGACGGCGCACGGCTGGAGGGGGAACTGTCCCTGGCTGACAAGGATGTGACCGCGAAAGACAGCAAGTTCAAAATGCCCAAGTTCAAGATGCCGTCCTTTGGGGTGTCGGCCCCAGGCAAGTCCATCGAGGCCTCGGTGGACGTGTCTGCGCCGAAGGTGGAGGCCGACGTGAGCCTCGTCTCCATGCAGGGGGGTCTCAAGACCACGGACATAAGCATTCAGCCCCCTTCTGCCGACCTGGAAGTCCAGGCTGGCCAAGTGGACATGACGCTCCCAGAGGCCCACCTGCCCGAGGGAGCCGGCGTCAAAGGGCACCTGCCCAAGGTGGAGATGCCCAGTTTCAAGATGCCCAAAGTGGACCTGAAGGGCCCCCAGGTGCACATCAAGGGTTCCAAGCTGGACCTGAAAGGCCCCAAGGCGGAGGTGACGGCCCCTGACGTGGAGGTGTCTCTGCCCAGCGTGGAGGTGGACGTCCAGGCCCCAGGAGCCAAGCTGGATGATGCACGACTGGAGGGGGAACTGTCCCTGGCCGACAAGGACGTGTCCACCAAACACAGCAAGTTCAAAATGCCCAAGTTCAAGATGCCATCCTTCGGAGTGTCGGCCCCAGGCAAGTCCATCGAGGCCTCTATGGACATGTCTGTGCCGAAGGTGGAGGCAGATGTGAGCCTCCCCTCCATGCAGGGGGACCTCGAGACCACAGACCTCAGCATTCAGCCCCCTTCTGCTCACCTGGAGGTCCAGGCTGTCCAGGTGGACGTGACGCTCCCTGAAGGCCATGTGCCCGAGGGAGCTGGCCTCAAAGGGCACCTACCTAAGATGGAGATGCCCAGTTTGAAGATGCCCAAAGTAGACCTCAAAGGCCCCCAGGTGGATATCAAGGGCCCCAAGCTGGACTTGAAAGGCCCCAAGGCAGAGGTGACGGCCCCCGATGTGGAGGTGTCTCTGCCCAGCGTGGAGGTGGATGTCCAGGCCCCAGGAGTCAAACTGGATGGCGCGCGGCTGGAGGGGGACCTATCCCTGGCTGACAAGGACGTGAACGCCAAAGACAGCAAATTCAAAATGCCCAAGTTCAAGATGCCATCCTTTGGGGTGTCAGCCCCAGGCAAGTCCATCGAGGCCTCGGTGGACGTGTGTGTGCCGAAGGTGGAGGCCGACGTGAGCCTCCCCTCCATGCAGGGGGACCTCAAGACCACGGACCTCAGCATTCAGCCCCCATCCGCCGACCTGGAAGTCCAGGCTGTACAGGTGGACATGACGCTCCCAGAGGGCCACTTGCCCGAGGGAGCCGGCGTCAAAGGGCACCTGCCCAAGGTGCAGATGCCCAGTTTGAAGATGCCCAAAGTGGACCTCAAAGGCCCCCAGGTGGATATCAAGGGCTCCAAGCTGGACCTGAAAGGCCCCAAGGCAGAGGTGACGGCCCCTGACGTGGAGGTGTCTCTGCCCAGCGTGGAGGTGGATGTCCAGGCCCCAGGAGTCAAACTGGATGGCGCGCGGCTGGAGGGGGACCTATCCCTGGCTGACAAGGACGTGACCGCCAAAGACAGCAAATTCAAAATGCCCAAGTTCAAGATGCCATCGTTCGGGCTGTCCGCCCCAGGCAAGTCCATGGAGGCCTCGGTGGACGTGTCTGTGCCGAAGGTGGAAGCCGACGTGAGCCTCCCCTCCATGCAGGGGGACCTCAAGACCACTGACTTCAGCATTCAGGCTGTCCAGGTGGACGTGAAGCTCCCGGAGGGTCATGTGCCCGAGGGAGCCAGCCTCAAAGGGCACCTGCCCAAGGTGCAGATGCCCAGTTTCAAGATGCCCAAAGTAGACCTCAAGGGCCCCAAGCTAGACCTGAAAAGCCCCAAGGCGGAAGTGATGACCCCCGACGTGGATGTGTCTCTGCCCAGTGTGGAGGTGGACATCCAGGCCCCGGGAGCCAAGCTGGACGGTGCACGGCTAGAGGGGGACCTGTCCCTGGCTGACAAGGATGTGACCGTGAAAGACAGCAAGTTCAAAATGCCCAAGTTTAAGATGCCGTCCTTTGGGGTGTCGGCCCCAGGCAAGTCCATCGAGCCCTTGGTGGACATGTCCGTGCCAAAGCTGGAGGCCGACGTGAGCCTGCCTTCCATGCAGGGTGACCTCAAGACCACTGACCTCAGCATTCAGTCCCCTTCCGCCGAGCTGGAGGTACAGGCTGTCCAGGTGGACATGAAGCTCCCTGAGGGCCACATGCCCGAGGGAGCCAGCCTCAAAGGGCACCTGCCCAAGGTGCAGATGCCCAGTTTCAAGATGCCCAAGGTAGACCTCAAGGGCCCCCAGGTGGATGTCAAGGGCCCCAAGTTGGACCTGAAAGGCCCTAAGGCAGAGGTGACGGTCCCCGACGTGGAGGTGTCTCTGCCCAGCACGGAGGTGGACATCCAGGCCCCAGGAGCGATGTTTCACGGCGCGGGGCTAGAGGGGGACCTGTCCCTGGTCCACGAGGATTTAGCTGCAAAAGACAACAAGTTTCAAGTGCAAAAACTGAGCACGTCTGGTGCTGAATGGTCGTCAAAGAAAATTTCCATGTCATCCTCTGAAATCAAAGGAAATGTTACATTCCGTGAGAAGACTTCAGCATTTCCCATTGTGGAGTCTGTTGTTCGTGAAGGTGATCTTCATGATCCATCACGCGACAGTAACCTGGGGCTTGCTGTTGGAGAAGCTGGAGTGGATTCGAAGTTTAAGAAACTGCATTTTAAAATGCCCAAAGTTTCATTTTCTTCTGCCAAAACTGCTAAAGATAGTTTAGTCTCAGGTGCAGAATCTGGCGTAGGTCTTTCCACGATTCCCTTATCATCTTCAGAATCCTCAAGTTGTGAATTACAGCAGGTTTCGGGTGGTTCAGAGCCATCCATGCAGATGCCTGAGGTTGGTTTGACTGGGTTTCCATCATCCCGGATTGATCTCACTGGTCCTCACTTTGAATCTTCTATTCTCTCTCCCTGTGAGGGTGTTACACTTACAAAATACCAGGTGACCGTTCCCAGAGCTGCCTTGGCCCCTGAGCTTGCTCTGGAAATTCCTTCTGGGTCTCAGGCTGAGTTTCCTCTTCCCAAAACAGAGTGCTCTGCTGACCTGCAACCTCCAGAGGGAGTTCCAATATCTGAAACGGAAAGTCACTCTGGTCCACTGAATTCCATGATTCCTGTTTCTCTTGGTCAGGTGTCTTTTCCTAAATTCTATAAACCAAAGTTTGTGTTTTCAGCTCCCCAAATGTCAGTTCCTGAGGGAGACTTACATGCAGCAGCGGGTGCCCCAGTCATGTCTCCTCTTAGCCCTGGAGAGGGAGTGCAGTGCCCCTTGCCAAGCACCCATCTGCCATCCCCAGGCACCTCTGTGTCCCAGGGCCCGGAAGAGCTTGTGGCCTCCTTGCAGACATCAGTAGCGGTCCCCGGAGAAGCCCCTTCTGAAGATACTGACCACGAAGGGAAAGGGAGTCCCTTCAAAATGCCTAAGATTAAGCTTCCATCATTTAGGTGGTCCCCGAAGAAGGAAGCAGGGCCAAAGGTGGACCCAGAATGCAGCGTGGAGGACTCAAAACTCAGCCTGGTTTTAGACAAGGATGAAGTGGCCCCAAAGTCTGCCATGCACATAGATCTGCCTCCTGAGAGGGATGGAGAGAAGGAAAGGAGCACAAAGCCTGGCTTCGCCATGCCAAAACTTGCACTACCCAAAATGAAGGCTTCTAAGAGTGGGGTCAGCCTGCCACAGATAGACATGGATCCTTCTCTTTCTAGTGTCACAGCAGGGGGTAGCTTTCAAGACACAGAAAAGGCCAGCACTGACGGTGGTGGGGGAGGACTTGGTGCAACAGCAAGTGCCACAGAAGGTGAGGATGTGAACCTCCCCTGTCCACAGGTCCGCATTCCCAGTTTGGGCTTTGCCAAACCTGATCTCAGATCCTCCAAGGCCAAGGGGCAGGTGAGCCAGTCTGAAGCTGACCTGCCTCTTCCCAAACATGGTCTGTCTACCGAAGGTGACAGCAAAGGATGTGGGCTCGGCGATGTCCCAGCAAGCCAGCCTTGTGGGGAGGGGATAGCTCCCACACCTGAAGACCCCCTCCAGCCATCCTGTAGAAAACCAGATGCTGAAGTCCCCACAGTGGAAAGCCCAGAGGAGGAAGCCACGACCAGGGACTCTCAGGAAAGCTGGTTTAAAATGCCCAAGTTCCGCATGCCCAGCCTTAGGCGCTCTTCCAGGGACAGAGGCGGGGCTGGAAAGCTGGAAGTGGCTCAGACACAGGCACCGGCAGCAACAGGGGATGAAGCAGCAGCTAGAATCAAAGAGTTCCTTGTTTCTGGGTCAAACATGGAGGCAAGTATGTCCCTACAGCTCCCAGAGGCAGATGCAGAAGTGACAGCTTCTGAGAGCAAATCATCCACAGATGTTCTAAGGTGTGATCTTGACAGCACAGGCTTGAAGCTGCACCTTTCCACTGCTGAGATGACCGGGGATGAGCTTTCCACTTCTGAGGTCAGGATCCATCCAACCAAAGGACCTCTCCCTTTTCAGATGCCTGGCATGAGGCTTCCAGAAACCCAGGTTCTTCCAGGAGAAATACATGAGACTCCTCTTTCCAAGCCAGGACATGACCTTGCCAGCATGGAGGATAAAACAGAGACATGGTCATCCCAGCCTGAAGGTCCACTTAAACTGAAAGCTTCAAGTACTGATATGCCATCCCACGTTTCTGTGGTTAATATGGATCAACTGTGGGAAGATTCTGTACTAACTGTCAAATTCCCCAAATTAAAGGTACCGAGGTTCTCCTTCCCTGCCCCCAGCTCAGAGGATGACGTGTTCATCCCCACTGTGAGGGAAGTGCAGTGTCCAGAGGCAAATATTGACATAGCCCTTTGTAAGGAAAGTCCAGGGCTCTGGGGAGCCAGCATCCTGAAGGCAGGTGCTGGGGTCCCCAGGGAGCAGCCTGTGGAGCTTAACCTGCCTTTGGAAGCTTCCCCAATTTCAAAGGTTAGAGTGCATATTCAGGGTGCTCAGGTTGAAAGTCAAGAAGTCACTATACACAGCATAGTGACACCAGAGTTTGTAGATCTCTCAGCACCCAGGGCTTTTTCCACTCAGATTGTGCGGGAATCAGAGATCCCTGCATCAGAGATTCAAACACCTTCATATGGATTTTCCTTATTAAAGGTGAAAATCCCAGAGCCCCGCACGCAGGCTACAGTGTACACAACAGTGACTCAGCACTCTAGGACTCAGGAGGGTGCAGAAGAGGCTCCCACACAAGCTGCCCCAGGAGCAGACTCCATTTCTGGAGATCTCCAGCCTGACACTGGAGAACCATTTGAGATGATCTCTTCCAGCGTCAATGTACTGGGACAGCAAACACTCACATTTGAACTTCCTTCTGGCCATCAGCTTGCAGACAGCTGTTCAGATGAGGAGCCAGCAGAAATTCTTGAGTTTCCCCCTGATGATAGCCAAGAGGCAACCACACCACTGGTGGATGAAGGCAGGGCTCCAAAAGAGAAACCAGAAAGTAAAAAATCTGGTCTGCTCTGGTTTTGGCTTCCAAATATTGGGTTTTCCTCTTCTGTTGATGAGACAGGTGTCGATTCCAAAAATGACATCCAGAGATCTGCTCCTATTCAAACACAGCCTGAGGCACGACCAGAGGCAGAACTGCCTAAAAAACAGGAGAAGGCAGGCTGGTTCCGATTTCCCAAATTAGGGTTCTCCTCATCTCCTACCAAGAAAAGCAAAAGCACCGAAGATGAGGCAGAGCTGGAAGAACAAAAACTTCAAGAAGAAACAATCACCTTTTTTGATGCCCAAGAAAGTTTCTCCCCTGAAGAGAAGGAAGAGGGTGAACTGGTCGGGCCTGTGAGCACTGGGCTGGACTCCGGAGTGACAGTGACATCTGCGGCAAGAACAGAGTTAATCCTGCTAGAGCAGAACAAAAAAGCTGATGATGTAGGCAAAGGCTCAGTCCTGTGACCAAATGAAGGCTGAGAGCTATGGCTCATCAGCATAAGAGAGATGCAAAAACTAAGTTGGAAAGTAAAGGCTACACACACATATGGAGCACCCCATCCCACAGCACATTACATCCACCTCACTTCACAGAACTGAGAACAGAGCAGAAATGACCAGAACACCTTTGTCACCATCACACTGCCCTCCTAAAATGGAACCAAAGCTTTGGATGCAAAGAAGGCACCCTGACTTCCCACAAGACACCAGAATTCACACGGTACTCAGAGGCATTGCTGGGAAAGTTTGTTGGTCTTTATTAGAAAAAGTTCAAGAGACCTGTCCATAATACCCAACAGAACATGAGTGTTTCTTTGAGGAAAGGGTTCTAATGTCTGTGGTGTACGAGTAGTTTTTGGTATAACTTCTTTCCTGCTGCTGCTGCTTCCTGGCAAACATAGTTTTCCTATTTCAGGCAGAGTGCGGTATATTCCAGGAGACGCTGTTTCCTTCTCTCTTAGCTTACTTCTTTGTTGAATTCTCACTAATGGCAAGCTTCAAGATGTTTTGTGTGACAATACACACGTGCTAGGCAGAAGGGTGATGGCGTCCAGTGGCTGGCAGCCGGGCCAGCAGAAGCCAGGACATCTGTGAGTTGTCATTCTCATCTATCCATGTCCACTTGCTTGCCAGCATCCACCAGTGCCTTGCCAGCGTGCACGGTCCCACACTGTGGCCCCTGAGTCTCCTAATGTACATGCTGCAGCCAGAATGCAGATGGAGCTGGCTTGGCTGTTCCCTGGATGGGCAATAAAGAAAGTGCTGCATCCCACGGTGAAGGCTGCTGAGGTCTTCTGTCTACGGGTGGAAGTTTACCAGTGCTTTCCCCCCACACACTCTGGTCTCTACTAAGTAGCTCTAGAGAACAGTCAAGGAGGAACATTAGAGTGGTTGCCTATGTATCATCCATTTGTCCAGGTCCTCCTCTGAGCTAGAGGCTGTGAGGAAGACAAGGAAGATAAGGCTGAGTTCACAGTGTGGCAGGGACACTGTGAATCCTGGTCTCTAAACCCTCCCTTCCTTCCTCCAGCTGGAGGCAGTGTGGGATGGGAGATAGAGTGCAGAGTGGGGACAGCACAGAAAGGTGTCCTTGGTCATCTTTAGTGGCCCATCCTCAGAAGCTTCCTTTATCAGAGGCTCTCTTGGGCAGCCCACAGGAAGCAAATCCACGTGCAGTAGTGGAGTGAGGTTCAAGGGGTTCCCTATAGTCTTTCAGTGGTCAGATCTCTTCCCAGCTGCCCTCAGATGCTCCTGCTGGGTTCATGGGTATGCAGTGTTCAAGGGGGTGGTTGGAACTTGCCCCCAGCTCCCTCCTGGCTTGGGTGGGCTCCTGGTGAGTAGCGCTCATGGACCCCTGGGGAGGTGGCTGTTCTCATGGCTGTGGGCATGGGAGCAAGAGCTGGGTTGTAGCCAATCTGGAGGACGACAGTGCCTGAAGGGTGAAGGCCACTCTGAGGCTACCACTCCTTGTGCTGCCCTGAGAGGTTCCAGAGGAGTGACAGCTATGGGGTGCAGGAGCCTGGGCAGGGGAGAGGCTGGGTTCTTTCCCCATGCCACCATGGGCATATGTTCCCTGTGCTGAGTTGGCGAGGCCCATGGGTGTCATCCAAGTTAGGGGACATAGAAGCCTCTAGAAAGTTAACTGACACAGGTCCCCTGGGGGCTCACAAGCAGGGGAAGGGGGAAGGGAAATTTGGTGGGCACTCATCCCACAGTTAAGCAAGGCTGTCACCCCCTCCCTTCCCAGGGCTTCCTGCCTCCTCTACTCCAACTTGTGTGTGCCAGACAAGCTAGGTGAGTGCAGCCCAGGGAGCACTGCAGAGGGAGGAGTCTGCCTGGCTCCATGGGGCTTTTATCCCTCTCTGATCCCAGAGTCAAGGCCTGGGATAGTGGGGACCTTGGTGCTAGAGGCCAGAGAGACAGCTGTCCCAGCACATGAGAAGTGGCTGAGCAGCAGGGGCCCCCACAGGGTTCTCACGTGGCCTTGGTTCTCTGTGTATGAGTTATCTATGCTGCATAAGAACATCACTCACTACAAATGAGCAACTTAAAACAACACATATTTATGATCTCCCAGTTTTTGTAGATCAGCCCAAGTGTGGCTTTGTTGGGTTCTCTGCTCAAGGTCCCATTAGGCGTCAATCAAGGTGTCAGCTGGGGCTGTGGTCTCCCCTTCAGGCATGACCAGGAAAGAAGCCACTTCTGAAGCTCACATTTAAGCTTCAGTGTTTAAGTTGAGTGTTGCTAGCCACACTCAACTCCTGTGGATGGGATGATTGAGGGCCCCAGTTTCTTGCTAGTTGGGGGCTGGAGGCAATCCCAGTACCCTGCCACATGGGCCTCTTCACAGGACAGCTCATAGCCTAGCAGCTCACTTTATTAAAGCTAGCAAGGGATAGACTGCTATCACAAAAGTGACACCCCATTACCTCTGTGTATTCTATTAGTTACAACAAGGCACAGGTCATGCACACACTCAAGGTAAGATCACACAAGGGCATGCATAGCAGGAGGTGGGGGTCATGGGAGTCATTCTAGAGTCTGTCTGCTATATTCCAGAAGGGGCCACATTGTGTTACCCTCCTGGGGTCTCTCAAACCTTGTCAAGCTGGATTTCCTTGGGAATAGGAGTCTGCTTTGAAGTAGGCCTCTGACAGTGCCACTGAGGTGTGACTGCCAGACCCCAGGTGTGTGGAAAGAGGCCTTTCACTGGATGAGGGCCACAAGCCAGTTGTCCAAATCACAACCTGGAGCACAGAGCCCTCCTAGAACACAGTTGGCAGGCCAAGAGAGCAGGCCAAGTGCTCTGAGACACATTCAGGTATAAGGCCAAGAACCAGGGAGCAAACCCACACATGCAACTCTGGAGGGCAGAGCTTAGTCTGGGATGATATCAGATTCTGAGCCAGGTGTTGCCACGCAGCTTTTTGGCAGATGGTTGCTGAGGAGATTTGGAGCATGGATGAGGGATAGGAAGCCACAGGGAGCAGCCACTGCAGCTGCCAGAGCTTGGCTTGGCCAAGTGCAGCTCACATACAAAGCAGCTCCCAGAGGCTCCTGAGGCCTTGCAGGGCTGTGTGGATCCCCATCCTCCTGCAGCATCTGCAGCAAACTTTTCACCAGCTTGGGCAGGGAGGCAGGATGGGTGTAGGAGACTTTCTGCACAGATAGAATGCTGAGGTCTAAGGCGTCCTTTAGATGGGGGAAGTTTGAGGTCACCAATCGAACAGAAAAGTAACTTGTACTGTACCTTAGATGAACTTCGCTAGCTTTCCCCAAAGCGAAGAGGGAAGAGGAAGATAGGGCTGAGTTCACAGTGTGGCAGGGACACAAAAATAGGAAGGAAAAAGGTAGAGAAGGGTAGGAAAAGCAGAGAAGTAGAGAAGGGTAGGAAAGTGGTGCCCCAAGACTGGGAGAGCATTCAGGGCACCCTGGGGTCCATTCAGCTCCAGTGCTCCTTCATACCGCTGCACTGTCCCTGAACTCCCGCCTAGGGGTGGCCCCATGGACCTCCACCAGGGGAGGGTACCCTGTGGTCTTGGTCAGGAACCATCAGGTGAGACAAGCCAGGGAGCTTTGAGAAGGCTTCTGGCCCAGCATTCATAGCAGAAGAGTGGGAACGGAGTGGCCAGACCTGGGTTCGAATCCTGCATCTGCAGCACAGGTGCCCAGGTGGCTCCCAGGATAGGGTGAGTTCCAGTGGAGCCGCATCCAAGTCCTGGTCTCAGATTGGAGTCACCTTCCTGCCCTCCAGCTCAAATGCTGGTCCTCTCAGCCCCATGCACCAATCCTGGGCCCTGCATCCCCAGGACAGTCCCGCCCCCACATTCTTGGACCCGCCCTGCACAACAGCCCAAGCACAACAGCCCACAAACCACACAGCCTTGCGCACCCCTACCGTCGCCGGCCTGTCTCCCCAGCCCTCACGCGGGACCTGTTCTCTCGGTCCTGGGTTCCCTCCCTCTTACCCTCCCCGTCAGGGGTCCCCTCCCGACTTCCACTCTCCTGATCCCTTCAGCCGAGGGTCCCCTCCCGACTTCCCCATCCCTCAGCCCAGGTCGCCTCGCGTCCTCCCCGTCCCCTCAGCCGCAGGTCCCCTCCCGCCCTTCCCACTCCCTCAGCGCCGGGTCCCCTCTCGCCCTCCCCTTCCCCCAGCCCCAGGTCCCCTCCCGCCCTCCCCATCCCCTCAGCCGCGGGTCCCCTCCCGCCCTTCCCATTCCCTCAGCGCTTGGTCCCTTCTCGACCTCCCCTTCCCCCAGCCCCAGGTCCCCTCCCCTCCTCCCCGTCCCCCAACCCCGGGTCCCCTCCCGCCCTCCCCGTCCCCTCAGCCGCGGGTGCCCTCCCCTCCTCCCCGTCCCCCAACCCCGGGTCCCCTCACGCCCTCTCCGTCCCCTCAGCCGCGGATCTCCTCCCGGCCTCCCCATCCCCTCAGCCACGGGTCCCCTCCCGCCCTTCCCATTCCCTCAGCGCCTAGTCCCTTCTCGCCCTCCCCTTTCCCCAGCCCCAGGTCCCCTCCCCTCCTCCCCGTCCCCCAACCCCGGGTCCCCTCCCGCCCTCTCCGCCCCTCAGCCGCGGGTCCCCTCCCGGTCTCCCCGTCCCCTCAGCCGCGGGTCCCCTCCCGGCCTCCCCTTCCCCTCAGCCGCGCGTCCCCTCCCCTCCCCCCCCGTCCCCTCAGCCGCGGTCCCCTCCCGGCCTCCCCGTCCCCTCAGCCGCGGTCCCTCCCGGCCTCCCCGTCCCCTCAGCCGCGGGTCCCCTCCCGGCCTCCCCGTCCCCTCAGCCGCGCGTCCCCTCCCCTCCCGGCCTCCCCGTCCCCTCAGCCCCGCTCCCCTCCCTCGCCGCACCTGTCCGGCGCCGTAGGAGCCGCCCCCTGGCGGTGGGTGCGCGGCGCTGCGCCTTGGTCTGCGTTCCCTCTGCGGGAGTCCCGGGCGTGGGCTCCGCGGCTCTGGCTCCCCACGGCAGCCGCTGGGCGGGAATTTGGGTTCCGGAGCGCGGCAACTCGGCGCGGGGTGGGAGATTGAGGGTTCGCTCCGCCCGGGGGTCCCGTCTGGTCCCCGCCCCGCCCCGGGTTCTCGCGCACCCCGGACTAGCTGAGGCGCTGCCACGGCAGTCGCGCGGCGCGGCTTCGCAGTGGCGGGCGCGTAGAGGCGGGCCCTTGGCAAAAGGATGAAGGGCCGCCAGCGCTGGACTCACACAGAGGCACTGGGAAGCCACGAGTGTTTTTTAGGCCTGGCCTGTGGGCCAGGAGTCAGGGTAGGGGCCTCCCGGAGGGCTCCCTGGAGGAGGCGGGGCTTAGGGGGGCTGGACTCGGAAATCAGAGAGCTGGCGGGCGGTGCGCGGCGCCCGGGCGGTCGCAGGCGGCTCCTGGCTCAGTGCCGACCCGGGCTGCTTACAGGAGGAAGCTGCTGAAGCCCAGGCCGGGTCAGAGGGGAGGGCGGGGACGGGGCGGGGTCGCCGAGAGAAAAAAGGGCCCCCCTCAGCCCTGCCAAACGCAGTCCTGGCCCGGAGCCTGTCCGTCCAGGCCGACGGCGTAGCGCGAACTCCAGTCCCGCTCAAAGAGCTGCCGCAGCTGCTCCTGTACCGTGGCCCCCGCGGGCTGCGCGCCGGGGCTCTGGGTGACCACCAGGCCCACCCCCGTCGTGCTGCTGAAGTAATCCTCCGACCAGTTGGAGGTGCCTGTGGGGAGGACGGAGGAGACGCTTGGGCGCCGGCTCCCACAGGCCTCTCCGCAGCCCGCTCAGCGCCAGGCCCGGCTACGGGTTTGGGGACGGTTGG